TATATATATATATATATATATATATATAAATACACAGTATATACGCTATATATACAATACATATAGTATATAATATATACAGTATATATAATATATAGTATATAGTATATATATTATATATAGTATATGGTATATATTATATATATTATATATATATTACATATAGTATATGGTATATATATTATATATAGTATATGCTATATACATTATATATTATATATATATAATATATATACACACATACATGCATATGTATGTATGATATGTGTATGTATGTGTGTGTATATATATATACGCGCATGCGCGCGCGCGCACACACACACACACACACACACACACACGACTAAGATTTTAATTAAACTTATTGTTTTTTTGACATATTGAGAAAATTTCTGTTTCGCTCGTCACTTATTATTATTATATTTGTTATTTTTAGCAGCGTTAGACATCCACAGGAAGAAATTATTTGATCTTGTACGATGGATATTGCGATGAAATATTTTTATCCACAAGGTCATTTTTCTTCGAATTCTAATATTACCGATATGAATGAGCTAATAACAACATTATTTTATTATTATTTCATTATTTCAAATGATTTTGAACAAGCTCACAAGCGCAACAAAGATCGTTTTTTGCATGATTATCTTTATCTTGAATATTATGAAAATTTAATGATAAACTTGATCGGTTCGGTACTTTCTAAAATAAAATACTTTTGGAACCTGCAAGTGTAAGAATTAAAAACAAGTAAATAATATTATACAGTCGTTACGAAACGTGACATTTTGTATCAATTGAGTATTTAATTTTTTATACATGCTATATAATAATTACACTATATCCAAAATCGATCGCAATATACATATCTGATTGATTAGTACATTTAAATACATTTAAAATATCAAGCAATCCAGATAGGAATCTCGCTGCAGTTTGCGTAAAATTAAAACTCGTTAATTAATTATTAATTAAGATGTATTTATATTTGTTTCATTATAGCAAATATAACATTTGTATCTATCAGGTCTTTTAAATTTTACATTTATCTTGTCAAATAAAATTGTATATACATATATTTCAGAGAGAATACCAAGGAGAGCAATTCTAGGTGCAATGATGTTTTTAGCTTGTATGTTTTCATATATGATTCGTACAAATTTGTCCATTATCATTGTTGCTATGGCAAATACAACTAGTAAAGATGGAATAAGTGGTCCAGCATGTCATACCATCGACACTAATGGCAATAGTACTAGTCATAAACCTGCTGTACTTAAAGATGTAAGATTTGTTTTTTTTTTCTTTTTTTAATTGTATAACACACATTTGTACTAGAAATGTATGTAGAATAAATATTTAGCGTTACTCCATAGCTAAATCAACTTCTCTGTCACATATTGTATTATATGACTAATTGTTAAGAGAAAGATGATATAGTACATATTATGTTATTGTCAAAGTTTTGATTGTAAATAAAATTGATTTTTTCTCTTCCATCATTAAATAGACCGAATTAAAAATAGTTTCAAGTTCACTTAACGCGTTTGTGCAGTTTTGGATTCTTAACATTGAAATCACAGCACACATCTTATCTACGCAACCGCTAACCATCACCTTCAATACATATAATTTCCTTTATTGGATCATATTCAATGATATTTTTAATTAGTTTCATAAAAAAATTAACGATTTTTTTTTATAGAAATATTGATCTAATACTGTAAAGACTTGTAATAAATATAACGTTAATTCATTAATTTACTGTCCATTATCAAGTTAGATTAATATTATATTTCTTATATATCTTACAGTACGGTGAACGATATGAATGGAACCAACATGTACAAGGTTTTTTGCTTTCTGGCTATTTTTATGGAGTTCTTCCAGCAAGTGTGCCCGCTGGTCTTTTGGCTGAAAAATATGGTGGTTCTAAAGTAGTAGCGTAAGTAGTTTTCAATTACAAATTCCTTATTTTACATTGATTGAATTTTATAGATTGTTTTTTTTTACATGTATTTTATATGTTTTTTTATGTAATCTTCTAATATAGATTTGCAACATTAATACCTGCAATATTAAACCTTTTGATGCCTTGGGCTTCTGGTATTCATTATGGTGTAGTGTTTGCACTTCGTTTTTTGATGGGCTTCTTTGGAGTAAGTTATTTACTAAATTATTTATCGCTTATAAATTATTATTCCTTCATTTGTATGGAACTTCTTATTAAATAAGATAATTTTATAAAAGCGTACATAAAATTTTTATTGTAAGAATAACTTTATCGAAATTTCATAAAAAATTTTGCTACGATTCTATATATAATTTTATAAGGTTCAATGTACAATGAAAAGATTTGTTATACTCGTATATATTGGTATTTCATCACGTAAAACTTAACGTATTAAATCGAAGTGTTCGACAAAAATTTTTATAGGAAATATTTTTATGAAATTTTATTATAACAAAGCTATTTCAGGTAACATATCCTTCATATGTTCCCACTAATCCATAAAGAATGTTTTGCTGAACGTTTATTATTATTAATCACGCTTAATTAATAATGTAATTAAAGTAAATTTTTATTAACAAACGAAAATCTATAGGCAGCTATTTACCCTGCTCTCCATGCAATGATAGCAAGATGGGTTCCTCCTAGTGAGAAGGGTATATTTGTGTGGACAATGCAAGGTATTTGGATGGAAAATTAAAAACAAAATTGAGAAATCAAATAGAATGTGTATCAAGACATTGGTTTTAGGTGGACCTTTTGGAACTGTAGTCACATTTACATTATGTGGTCAAATAATTAGTGCTTTTAGTTGGAAAGCTGCATTTTATGTTACTAGTGGTCTTATACTGATTTTTTATGTTTTATGGGTTTTCCTTATATACGATACTCCTGATATACATCCAAAAATCACAAAAAATGAAAAAGATTATATTAAAGAACAAATAGGTACTACTATTTCTAAACAGAAAGTAAGTAAATTTTACAACTTTAAGTTGAGAAGTATTGTATTCAGACACATTATATATAATGTTAGTGACATATTATTAAATATTAATATAAAACTGTAGGTGAAATTGCCAGTGAGAGCCGTTGCTACATCAGTACCATTTATAGTTCTATTATGGGCTCATTTTGCAAACATGTGGGGTATATATTTCATTGCTACAAACGGACCAAAATATACGTTAGAAGTTCTTGGTTTTAATATGAAATCGGTACTGTCTTGTTTGTGTATTATTTAAATTAGTTTGTAGAAGTCAAACTAACATTTGTTAAATTGTATCTAGGGAGGATCAGTTACAGGATTACCTTATATAGCAAGACTTGGTGCTGGAATATTGTTTGCTGCAGCTGGTGATTATGTTCGAAGGAAAAATATTTTTACTTTAAATTGGATTAGAAAGATATTTATGCTTTTCTGTAAGTAAATTTAAATGGAAATTAATGTAATGAATTTTATCTGTTTACGATAAATAAAATTAATTTCTTGTTTGACAGCACATATGGGCCCTGCATTAGCTTTAATTGTAATGACATATGTTGGTTGCGATGCAACTACTGCTATCATTATGTTAATAGTAGCATTAACTTTTAATGGTGCTGCATGTCAAACCAGTTTACAAAATCATCAAGATCTTGCACCAAATTACGCTGGTTCTTTGTATGGAATCATGAATACTTTTGGCAGTTTTCCTGGATTTATTATTCCACCAATTATTGGTGCTCTAACAAATGAGAGAGTACGAATAAGTCAAATATAAAATTCTTTATTATAATCGAGAAACTAGTTGAGGAAATTTCTCAATTTAATATAGTACATCGTAGTTATTTATTTACTATTTTTATCTCACAGAATGGAGTAGAAGAATGGCGTATTATGTTCTGGATTTCATCAGCAGTGTTTACATCGGCAACAGTACTTTTTTGGTTCTTTGGTTCGGCAGAAATTCAACCATGGAACGATTTAAATCAACAGAAAGTATCAACGATTTCTGACGAAGAAACTCAAATGAATTCAATACCCGCTACAAAATCATATCCAGAACAAGAAGACGATGAATCTAAAGTATCGTTATAATTAAAAAATTGCATTTTTTTTTAAATTAATGCTAAATTTATTTTTATTAATTTATTTAATATTAATATTACGTTGATACATCCAATCATTTCATAAGTAGTATGAATATTGCGGATTTTTTTTTTGAAGCTAGACAAACGATTTATTCACAATTATTTTTCTACATTTCTACAGTCAGTTGTAATTTTTTTGCTAATTTCTCGATCCCTCTTTTGATCAGTTCCTTTTTTTTTTATTTTATTATTTATTACTTTTTTCCAAAATATTCGTTTTATTTATTCAACGACTTAATATATAAATTAGTACTTACAAATAAATGAGTAGCAAGAGCGTAAATCTTAACAAGAGATTTTAAGGCACCACAGTATCGATATATATATTTGATATATGCTTTTACATCTTAAAACGTGAGAAATACTCGGATTGCATTTCTTAACTTCGTGCCAAATGAAACGTATACTTAATACATATAGTTTCAATACAGATGATAATACTTCATACAAGGTATCTTAATAATAATGTATAATTGTTTATATTTGTAAAATCAGAAGTGTAAAATATGCAATTGTATATAAGATAATTAATAATTTATCATCTTAATTCTAATATAAAGAGGGATATGATTTAATACAAAGAAATGTTGCACGAGTTGCGAAATGTTACAATAATATATTCTTATATTTAATTTATTTGTTCTCTCTACAGAGTGAAATTTGGAGAAGTATTACAAATATTTTTTCATACATGTTTCGTTATAATTAATTTAAGAATCATATACAAAGTGAAACTACATATACTTTGTATAATTATCATCATGTGAGGTTTATTATGTATTTACTGAATGTACATATTATACTATACATGTAGTGATACAGTATATAAGCGTATTGTAATGCGTATAGATTGATCTGATGATATTTTGAAAGTGTATTAATTATTGTAATGTAAATACATTTATAGAAATACGTAATATTCATTATGTTAATTCTTGCAATTGTTAGGTACAAGTGTCTTGAGAGAGATATATAGGAATAATTTTAAATCCATCTCCATCTGATTTCATAGGAATGCGAGAAGAAGTACAGTTGCTGGAAATATTTGTGGGCAAATGTAATTTCGAAAAAGTTTTACAGGTTTGTTGTATGCAAGAGATTTTTTGTTCATTTATTTTATTACTTGTGTTATTTGTACTTAAACATAGACTACAAGTTGATTTAGTATACACTTCATTTTTCCCAAACGAACAATTCTTCATAGTCTGCTGCGAGGAGATAATACAGTTTTCTCGAGTACAAAATGTATTTTTCAATATTTGTAGGGCGTTCGCCGCTTGGGAAGTTAATGTACTATGATAGCTGGAAGAAGCTGGACAAATTGGTTGATCTAACAAAGTTGTGATTGTCTGACTTGAACTACTCATGGTTTCTGCAAAGTACGTACGAAACTTAATACTCGGTAATAATTTATTTTAATCTATATCAAACATGTTCCTTCGTGTTTAAAGTAAAATTATAATTCTTTACCTTGGATTGAACATGATTTCATTATCGTAGCATCCGTTACGTAAGACCATTCATTAAAAGATTCTAAAAAAGTAATACTTATATAAATATAGATAGATATACGATTTTGTGCGAAATATTTAGTAACATTTATACCTTGAGGTTTGATTTTTTTGTCAGGTTGTAAGAATACACAAATTGTATGACGAGATTCCGCAACTGGGTCTTCTTTTAAAGAAGATTGTGCGAGAGGTTTGAGCTTTATCTGTGAAAGGCAAGGTAGTTGAAGATTTTCGTCCCTTTCAGTTACTTTGGTCACAATGTAACAGGGTTTATATGCTAGTAGTATATCTTGTGTACGAAGTATCTTAATTTCCTCTTGTGGGATGTTTTTAAGTTCTTGATCGTTTAAACACCATTGGCACATTGATTGCCTTCTACAGACGGAACATAGAACTTGCTTGGACTTTTTGATTTTTTTGACTTCAGAAATAGCAGCTATACTTGTCTGCGTAGAAGTTGTTTCAGTTTCTTTCTTTGACATTAATTCAAGAATTCTTTTCTTTCTCTTAGCCAATAGTCGGTCTATCGGTTTACCTGAAATGTAACAAAATAGTCTAATTAATAGTGAGTTATACGATTAACTTAAGTAAATAAAGTTAATTGTTTAATTATGATTAGTATTGAAATCGCTGCTGAAATAGGTAATAAAACATTTCTCTGTAAAAATATATTTTATGTCGATTAATGTATTTATGCGTTAAAGAGAAAAACAAATATTTCAATTGCAATTTAATGATAATAACGAGACATTCCAAGTTTGATACTAACGCTCTTGTGCTTGCTTCTCCAGCTGTACAAGTTTCGCGATAATAGTCATTACTCGTCGAATGATTCCATCTAAAATGACTTTAACGATTTCAACGGCATTTTTCTGTACAATATCGCAAGTCATTTCCAACAAATTGTCCATCAAAGGTATGACGATAATTGATGCTTCTAAGGGATCTACGATTATATCGAGTTTCAGTTTTCTCAACACATCTTCCTCTCTCTCTTGGTCTACCTTGTACGTAGCTACGGTTTGCACCATTTGCTCCTTCATGGGATATCTAATTATTTCGGCACATTTATTCACGATTTCGTCTATTATATCGTTTATTATAATTCTAACGTCGACTGCTGTCGAAATACAATCTTCCAAGTAACGTAAAATCATGTTCTTCGTTTGCCAATAATCCGTTAGAAGCATCGTGTTAGATTGCTTCGGTTCGCAACTCAAATCCGTTTGCACTTGACTGTCTATGACGAAGATGTTCGTACGATTGTTATATTTAATGCAAGTCTGTGTCGCTTTGTCAGAAGTTTCAGGTTGCACTCGGCTAGTCGGATCGTCTATCCAGAATACACGCGCTAGTAGAAAATGTAAAATCTCAGTAACTTCCATTTCTGTTTCTTCCATTTCGGTGTCAAGTTTGGATTGGAATTCTTCGCGTTCTTTGTCCGTGGTGTCCACGGACAACTGTTCCATCACAACGTTCTGCGGTGTGTCGGGATGGAAGCTAATAATAGTTGTTGTCACATTGCTTCTCTTCAACTCGGGCATGGGGCCGTCCTTCATCGACGCTATATCACACATAGACACAATGACTTGCTTGCAATATTTAACAAGATAATAGTACAATTTCAACTTATTTTTTTTTCACTATACATGTGTAAGAGGAGTATTTTTTCATTAAATATACATATATAAGAAAGATAATAGTTTATCCTTTCGGTAATCTTATTAAAGTTTATTAAAGTTGTCAATTGCTTCGATCAAGAAACTGTACTACAAACTGAACTATAGTATATAGTATCTCGCATCAATGATAACAGAAAACAAAGAATAGTAGAGGGCAGACATACTCATTATATCCCTAAAGTATTTTAAAGGAGGACACGGCGTGCTCATGTACATTGTCTGCGAGGCTTCATCTCGATATTCAATGGAAATGCGTACAACTGGTATTCCTTGCAAGTACGTTTGACTTTCCGCATCCTCTTTCGACTTGCGTTCGATTTCGTCTATTGGTTTCTCTGCTGATTTCGCTTCTTCATCTCCTGTTTCTTTCGACTCTACAAATTGTCTATGGATAAACGATCGTCTGTGTACAATATCATCGGGATCAAGGACCAAGTTTACGTCTGGCGTTGACGACACTGTCACCGTATCCGAAATTTCTCTCAACGTTGCATCGTATTGTGGCGTTACCGTGATAACAGTTTGAGCCCAGGCATCGTCTTCTGAAGTCATCTATG